GATAACTGATAATGTCGAAGTTCAACAGATGGCCGGTGATTGCCGAAAGTTGAACCATGACCAAACAAACACAAACAATGAATGATTTTCAACATCGTCCTTCAATTGTATTGTTTCTTTGAAACTTCATTCTAGTGATAACAGATTTCACCCTGCTTTTAACATTCTCACATCTGTCAACTCCATCCAAATGTCTACTCAAGTTCAATCTTCCTTGGCCGACCTCAAGGCATCCACTGCTCAACTTGTGGGCATCATTGCCGGTGCCCAGCACATCCTGGCCGGCTCAGTGGACGTCCACCTTGCTCTAACAAAGCAGGTCACCACTCTTTTGGTATGTTGAACTCATTAAATTAGTGTAACATTAATGTTTCTAATGTCTGGGTAGGCTGACATCATCCGGGCCTATGAGAAAGGGGAATACATCCCTGGAATTGTGGTGTCCTGCTCCAAGGAGCTGATGAGGGTGCGTTCCATGACTCCCCGGGCATTGCCCAACTGGCACAGCATTGGCCATGATGACCCCCAGGTGGCTAGACACGCCTGGTGCAAGCAAGTCCGTGCCTGGGAGGCGTTGGGTGACAATTCCTGTGATCTCCCTGTTGTCCCTAACGTTTCCACTGGCCCACTGACTGTCAACCTTCCATCTCTACCTGTCCCTTCACCTGCACCTGTCCCTTCCCCCACCCCTGTCATTCCCTCACCTCTGGTCGTCGCCAGACCTTCTGGCAAGACAACCCCCGAGGTCCGGGACAAAGGAAAAGGTAAGGCCACCTCCGTCAACCTGGAGCCAGAAGTTGGGGGGAGCAACAAAAGGAAGTCTCCGATGATTTCCGGACACTCCTCTCAACCTCCAAAGTCGGCGATGAAGGCATGCAAGCGTGTCAAGTCAACTCAACTCCCGAAGTCGAAGCCATTTGTGGAGTCGGAAGATGATGAAGACCCAATTGTTCAGGTATGTGTTCTGGCGTATTTGTGACATGCTCTCAATTTGTTGCAGCCAATTTCGCGTGGAGTGCCAGAGGTCATCCTTCCCCAGCGCTCCACCATTGTTGTAAGGAAGCCCCAGTTGCCTCGGTCACCCGGTTCCCCCAAGAAGCAATCATTTGGGCCTGCTTCGGTAAGTCTGATTTATCCGTTTGGACCTTAAATATATGCTCATGCATCCACAGCTGACTGCTGGCAGTTGTCCGGAGGTCATGGTGAGTCGTTCGGACTTGTCCGGACCTCCCATGTATAATTGTCACTCATTCCCATTACATTGGAAATCTCCCATCAGTCATCCGGAGGCTCGCATCAGTCGTCCGGAGGCTCGGGGCAGTCATCCGGAGGCTCGGGTAAGTCTTAGAAGTTCTCCAGAAACTCATATGTGTATTAACAATCTGTCAGGCAACCTCCGGCAGTCGTCCGGAAGTTGAGGAGCCCTCTGAAGATACTTCCAGTGCTTCAGATGGTGACCCGCTGGCCAATACCACATTTGATATCACCATTCCCGGCCCAGTGAGTACTCCAATTAATTCCCCTTCGTCCATCTACTAACAGATACCACAGAACAACCCCTGACATTATTGTGTCAAGGAGAATTGGCCCTGTGCGACTTGTTTGGACAAGAGGACCAGTCTCCCCTGCTTGTCTTGCATCCGCTGCTCCACCAAGAAGATCAAATGCAACTCTGCATCTCTGGGATCCCCACCCAAACGGATCCGAGGGAAGTATACCACTGGCTGGACGCGTTCCAAGACACCTGCCCCTGCTCCATCCAATGCTCCATCTCCCTCCTGGTCAAGGGCCCGAACTCGTAGTCAATCTTGTGGCCCGTCCCGACCTCCGGCCATCCCTGCTGCAACTACACCCCAGGTGCAGTCACGTGGTCGCAGCAAGACCATCACCATCAAGAAGACACCTGCACCTGTCCCTGCACCTGTCCCTGCACCTGCGCCAGCTGGTAAGTCACCCAAACCCTTGATGACCGGCTGACCTAATTTTTTACTTAGCAGTCAGGTCTTCCAGCGTCGCAGTGCCTCGTGCAGCACTCAATGTTCCCATGCTGGATCTCCATTCCATGGCAATCGCGATTCAGGATGGTGCAGCTCGCATCGTGATTCTTGAGGCTCAGGTACAGGAGCAGGATGCTAAGATTGATACCCTGCAATGCCTCCATGAGAGCCTCCAGCACACGGTAATCGACCAGCACCCTTCATTTTGACTTCCAGACACACTGGCCGATGGATCAATGTTGCTTGATCAAGGAGGTCCCCCCCGTCCATGTCACCCCTCCCCTCCGCACTTTCCAACCTCATTGATTTGGACATTTCAGTGATGGAACCCACACCCTTGACGCCTGAGCATGGATCTGCTATGATAGGTCCCATGGTTGAGCCCACCCAAGTTCAGCCTGAGGGTCCACAATCCTCCGGCGAAATTGTGCTCCCAGATGAACCAGGCAACCTCTTGCCAGAATCCTCCGGTGATATTGTGGTCCCTAATGAACCAGGTAACCTCCTGCCAGAATATTCTTCTTCTGATAAGGAGATGGATGTTGAGGGAAAGGTTGATCTTCCTGGTGAGGAGGTTGAAATGGCTACATAATTGCTCAGTGATAGATGTACATAAATCTTTTTCAATGCATGTTACCTATGCCACAATTGAATGATTGAATGATCAGTCCTGATATCCAGAACTCGAAACTGTAGATTGAGGTAGATATCACCCGAACACCCGAATGTCAAATTCTCAGTGCTGAACCCTGAGTCCTGGGTGCCGGGTGCCAAGTCCCGAAATTCGGAACTCAGGATTTGACATTTGAGACGAACGACATCTCTCAGATAATGTTTAAATCAACCTATGTATATATGTAAACATTTTACTAACCCCCAATCCCCAAACCGAGATGCATCAACCCCCGAACCCCGAAACCTGAGACCCGGCAGTCTCGGGTTTCAGGATTAGGGGGTTGGTACATCTCGGTTTGGGGTTTGGCACTGAAAATTTGACATATATATTTTTGTGAGTGTTGTGCTTCTGGTGTCCATGCTTATAAATAGGATATGTTGCACACCAGGGTTCAGGTGTGGGGTTTTTCCACTTCAGTCCTCGATTATTGGTCAATGCCACACATGGTCGATTCATGTTTTTGTGCTTAGAGGTTTAGATTTGGTGGTCGACGGTAGGTATATGCACTCATAGTGTACATGTATCCTACATGTTTGATTCGCTGGTGGCTACATCAGCTGTATGTCTTGATGGAACATATCTAGGCTCACCCATATATGTACCCATCTATGTACAATTCCCCCACGTCAGCCCACCTATCTATGCATTATCCCCCACCTCGGCCCACCCGTCTATGTAATACATCCTATGTTGGCCCACCTGTCTATATAATACATCCTACGTCGGCCCACCCGTCGATATAATTATACCCCACCTCGGCCCACCTGTCTATGTAATAAATATTTTATCGCACCCTCAGCCCACCCATCTATTTGATATCCCTTTCGTTGGCCCACCCATATATGTAATACTTTTCACGTCGGCCCACTTGTATATGTAATACACCCCACGTCAGCCCACCCGTCTATGTAATATTCCCCTACCTCGGCCCACCCATATATGTAATACACCCCCGTCGGCCCGCCCGTCTATATAACAATATTTGCCTTACATCTCTCTTCAGCCCAGCTGTCTATAATATACTACTCTACATATTACCCAGATGGGCCCACCCATCTCCATGAATGATCATATTCCCCCGGCCCATCCGTCAACATCAAGGATATATATATCATTGGCATACATGGGCCCACCCGTCTCCATCAGAAATAATATGTGTCCCGGCCCATCCGTCATCATCGAGAATATACACAACATGGGCCCATGATCAGCTGTCCCGTCTCATACGGGATATTATGGAGGTCGGGTGGCCCGTATAATATGGAATTTGTCACTGAAGAGGCTCTCCTGCCTAGCAAAGCTATCATTGAATGACAAGCAGTAATCATCATCTTATCATATCGCAAAGATTACTATGATAAATTTTAATCATGATCACTTAACATATTGTGGCATGTTCGAAAGTCCTGGAGCCAGTACAGATTTTTTAGTGGTTCCAGCTACTACTGGTTGTTACAGGCTGCTACAGTCGCTTCAAAAGAAGCACTGCACTACGCGCTGCTACAAGTCACTTGGCTTGGCAGTGGGTTTCCTGATGGGTGGTGAACCTAGGTAAGTAATATTTATTTCCTGAAGCAGCACCTTTAAGTGTGCGCTTTCAGGGGCAAGTTTGTCATGCAAGATGAAGGAAGCTACTCTGGAGAAGGGTGCTTTCCAGTGTGATAACAACTGTCCTGCTGAGTAGCAAGGACAAAGTTGGGTCTAGCTAATGCCTAGCTGCTATGTCTATACAGACATGTTCGACCCTAAAGGGATTTGCTACTAGAGAGATGATGGGTATGCATGAACCTGAGAGCGCGCTAAGTGCAGGAAAATAGTGGACAAGGTATGCGTGAGGTATACGAGTGTATCTGAGGTTATCTGAGGCATGGGAACATCCGGCCGAAGGTGCGGAAAGTGCGGGAAAGAGTGGACAAGGTATAGGGAGGTTAAGGAATGAGGTTTCAAGGGAACGAGGGCAAAGGTATATTGCGAGGTAAGGGATCATAGGTATAGAGAGGTATAAGGAACCTAATAGGGATTAAAAGGCGTGCACTACTAGGGACAACTTCGAAGGTAAACCTATAGGGTGAGGTATGTATACAGTACAAGGGAAGTGTACAGTCCGAGAGAAGTGTGTAAAGTAGTCCTAAGTAATAGGCAACTTATAGTGTCTAAAATCCCACTCGGAGTAGGAAGGGATAGGAAATATAGTAAATAGGTAAGGACATGTAATAAGGCTGCAACACATTTTACAAGCCTCGAGGTAAGGAAATTCACATACCAATGGAGTTTGGACGGACTATGGATGGACGAGGAACCTTCCTAATGTGTTTCCGAGGTATCCAATGTGCAGGAAAGTGCGGATAAGCGGATGCGCAAAGCGTGGGAAAGCAGGTTTGGTTTAGGATTAGGGTTACTTGAAGGACAAAGATGGACAATGATAATGAAACTGATAGTGTCCTATACTCCTTGACACATATATGAAAATACCCTGTTTCCTGCCCAGCACGGGTCCGAGCGTTACACCAGGCAGCATTTGAGGAACTCGATAGTGCCCTTACCAAAGAACATTGCATAGCCTGGAAGGCTGAGGTTGAAATGTGGGAGGATAACCATAATGATGCATGCATACCAAATCTATTTGAGGCAAAATCAGTTGGTACATCTTTGTGGATTAACACCAGGGTGAAAGGGACTGATATGTCATAGTGATCATGCAGGCTGGTGTGTGCCTGAAACTAAACAGCTGGAGGCACAGGAACTGGAAAAGGGTGTGGATGTGTCACTGCACCCTGAGGTCTCACCAAGTGTCTTCATTGGATTGGGTCTGGATTTAGAAAAGGAACAGTAAGTTCTATTGCTTTTGGTGCTGGATTCAAAAGCTGACTATGGTATAGGCAGTGTGTATTCAGGTTCATCAAGACTCTTGGTAACCACATTACAGATACTCAAAAAGCCAACTTGCAACACCAGAGGAACACTTTGCAATACAAGATTGAATCATGGAGGATGACACAAGTGCTCTACATGCCTGTGGTGCAGGGTATGCTCTCCGCATTTACCTCATCCTCTCTTCTAGGGATCCAGAACATGGAGGATGTGAAGCATCTACTTCCTTCTGCTATCAGTAATCATCCATGCCACGACCACTTGTGACTCTACGAATGGGAACTATGGATGGCTTAAGCACATGATGCTCTGGAAGAACTTTGTCAATGCCTATGGATACGGTCATCACTCTTTATATACAAAAAAGAGTGGGTGCATGGGCAGGGCGGAAACACGAGGGCTCAGAGTGCATTGGAATGGGTGAGTGCAAGACAAGCAGCATGTAGTACTGCACGCTACCATGCTTCATGGGGTGCATTGAATGTTGTAACACTTGGATCGGTGTTGGACATGTATCCCATTGAAAACTCATCTTACATCCTCAACACACTTCCAATTGTCCGAATGTTCCATGCACTTGTCTGAGTCGTCCAAAGGTCATCCGTCCATTTCCAAGGCCTTTCTAGCTTTTCCAATCATCCATACCATGTCCTATCCTTATCTGTTTGTCTTCACTGGTGCATTTTTCACTTGGTTATCTGTTATTGATTATATCTAGGGGCACATACATCAAAAACCCTTGCTAATATGTATAGATATGCACCTCGTGCATTATTACATGTATATCTTCATAGTGGCTCACCTTGAGTCTTATTACATTTCAGATGTCTTATCTCGCTACAGTTTTCGCCTACACAGATTCCGGACTTTCATGCTGTAGGATATATTCTGGCTCACTAATACTCGCAACTCATTTCACTTCCCTTGCTACAAGTCATAGTTAGTAGAGTCGCTTTCAAATTTTAGTACTTCACACAATCAATTTTTGTTCATTCAGAATGATTGTCTGGCCTCACTGCTGCCATTTTGCTATTGAATTCCTTAAGTCTTCTGATGGACTTTGCTAGTCATACTATGCAGAGTTCTATATTTTGACAAAACCGCCGTATTCTCTACCAGAAATCTACCAGTTTCATCGGAAGCTCACTGGAAGCTTCACACAACCTCGGACCTTCATTTCTCAATGTCGGACCTCAACCGGACACTTTGGACAACTCTTTGGACACTTTGGACAATTCTTCGGAATTCTGAACGTACTTGAGGTATCTTTTCCTTCTCCCTCCTTCGATCTTAACTAGATATCCCTTGCATTTTATATCAAGAGATAATCCTACAGGCAGTCTCTTTGGGACAAACATCTCACTCACACTTTGAGTCTTAAGGTAACACCTTTTGTATAGCCCACCAGGAATCAACTCTTTACAATGTGCTGGCCTGAGAGCTTGGAAAGGTGGGATGGAAAGGGGGACTTCAGCCACTGAAAGATGAGGATATCAGACCACTTATTGATCTGTATGCCATGCCAGGGCAGGGGAGATAAAGCTGATGTGGATTTGGAGGACGAGTGGCATGGATAGTGATGGAGATGGCACAGATGAAGATGGTGAGCTGCGATATTCAACATTGCATTCTAGACTAACATTCATATAGGTGTGAGGGTAGAATGGTGCAAAGCCCGAGCTTGTGCAATGCACTGGTCTGAGGACATTGAGCTGCTTCACGAGGAGATGTACTGTGTCCTTCAATTTCTTCAGTAGCAGGCTACCTGGTGGGATGAACAAGGGAATCAGTGTGTAGAGGAGGACAAAGGATGTCTTGAGGGTATACAAGCTTATGTGGCCAAGCAAGGACACATTCGCCACGTGTTCACTGATCAGTTTCACACTTTATGGTCTCCTTTCTTATCTCCCGACGCCGTACCATTAACAAGGCTTGTATCTGATGCAGACCATACTGCTGACCTCCCTAATCATTCAGCACCATCTCCACACAATATCTAGTTGCTTGTATCATTATCATTGCCAATTTGTGTCTATTTTTCATGCTCTAACTAATGTGTGATATATGTATAATACTTGGTGCCTTAGATCTGATCTGATGCAATAGTAAGGTACAGTTTCAGTATGGGGAAATGCTTCTTGTCATCTCATCGTCTTCTGCTCATGATAGGGAACAGTCACCAGCATGTGAATTTGTCTTTGAATACCAGAGATGGGCGTAGCAGAAGGGACTGTGTCTTACAACTGTAATGAATCAATGCATGATTTAGACTTACTAGTGTAATTGTTCATGCATTACAATAAACTGACAATTGTAAGACTTAATGCATTATACCCCCAGGGTGTTGTGTATTAATTGAGTACACCAAAGACATGGAAATGAAATTCGTGCAGCATCATGACAGGAATGATCATTTCTGTTTGCCTATTAAATGATCAATAGAATGAAATACAGTGGTGAATAAATTTGGTAGATGGGCCCCAGCACTGCATTAATGTGGTGTTCATAGAACGTTCACACGTGAGAGTCGATTGGGTAGAATAGACTTAGAGGCTCGAACGAGATAACTGTCTGAAACTAAGTATATTTGGGGGTGAAAGATCAGCTGCCCTAACAGTAGATATATGTCGGCTTATATACTGTAGGGTAAGAATTCTATGGAAGAAGATGGAATGAATGTATATGAGTATCTAAAGAGAGTGATGAAAGTAAATATCAGTTGCCAACATCAATGAGTAGATGTTGGCTTTTGACGAGTGTTATATATGCCCTCCAGGTCCTCTAAATGGGAGGATCTTTCTTCAGGTGATGCGAGTTCCTTTAGTTCTTGCGTGTTGGTCCAAGGGATGCGAAGGCAGCTGAGAGAAGGACCAAGGTAAGTATGTTTACTATCAATATACTAATAAGGATGAGTCTACCGAAAACATCTTCGGTGGTGACATCTGGCATCTGCGAAGCCTGTTTGAGGTCAAGCTATTTGGCAGCCGCAATAATGTCCTCTACATCAGGTCCGGGGTCTGTTGCAGGTATGGTACATGTGGGAGGGAGAGCTAAGATGGTAGCAGCATTGCTGGTCACTTCAGCAATGACCTGGGCAGCTGTGTGGGGTCGAGGCTGGTGACTATGGGCCAGCCATTCACGAGAGTAGTAGTCAGGGCGAGCAGAGCAAGACAATGGACCAGACATAGAGGTGCAATGGTCTAAGGTGAGGTTACGGCTGCGATGGGCATGGCACCTGAGTTCATGAGCACATTCGGCTCAGAGCTCTTGGTCGAAGGCATGGGACTCCTTTCGAGTAGCTAGCTCTTCTGGGAAGGGAGAGGCAAGGTGAGCTGGGGCGTGATGTGAGTCAGCAAAAGGATGCTCAGGGCCTCAGCTCTGAAAAACCGCGTAAATGCTCCTAGGGCATCAGCATCCTTGTTAAGTCTTCGAGGAGGGGGGTAACACCCTCCATGGCCCCTTTGTCCCCTTCCAGGACAGCCTCTGCCTGCCCGAGTGGACTGGTGAGTCAGGGCATGCTCTCCAGGCTCGTGACGAGCGGGTGAGACATTGATGAGCATTGCGTCATGTGAAGGAGGAGGTGGTGTGGCTGACATGATGGGGAGGTCACAATACTGAAGGTCTGGGGTCGGCTCACTCGTTATATATGAGGAGGAAGGCTCGCTTAGAGGGATCTGGTTGGCAAGGTCAGACAGCATTTGGTCTGTAAGACCGAACACAATCTCTTGGGCTGAAGGAGATACTTCTGTGGCACAAATGGGGATAGAGTTTGATGCAGCTGAAATTTTTCTCGGCAGGTGGGAGATGCCTGGAATGCCCAGAGCTTCAAGATACTGGGAGAGGGCTTCGAGTTGAGACACCTGGTGGTAGGGTAGCCATACCCTGTTGCCAGTAGAGTATTCAACTTTGAATAATGTGTCAGGTCCAGTGCCCTGGTGATCAGCTATTTGAGACACTGACCATTCTTCCAAATGTCCAATATCAGACATGTGTTCCAGCTGTCGGCCAGGGAAGTGACAGTCGTCATTAGGAACGTGGAGATGAAGGAGGTGAGCGTGGAATGCTGGGTGTATTCCTCGTTGCTTAAGTTGCGAGGGGAGGTCTAATAGGAATGAATTATTCCTGTAGTCATCAATAATATGATAGGGTCCAATATACTTGGGTGTGAGCTTTCTGGCCCGCCCCTTTGGTAGCGAGAGGTTCTCAGTTGATAAGTATACGAGGTCCCCTTTGACGAAAGGGGACTCTGCTCATTTATGGTTGGTGTTCGACATGTTTTTTTATGCGAGTGGCTATGATTGAGTCATGTGTGCTCATAACCACGTCTTTCATATGCTGGGCGAAGACATGTACTCTGGGAAATTCGGAGTTGGTGTTCCATATGAGGGGAGGAGGGAGACGACCATAATTAAGTATGAAAGGGGGGTACTTTGTGGTGTCAGAGCAGGCAGAGTTGATGGCAAATTCTATTGCTGGGAGTTTTATAGCCCAATCATGCTGATTTGGAGACACGATTTGATGGAGCATCTGCGTGATCATTTGGTTAGCCCACTCAGTTGCTCCATCTGACTGTGGGTGGAACAATGTGGACATTTGGAGCTCTACACCTGTGAGTTGGTGTAGGCATTGCCAGAAAGTGCTAGTAAATAGGGTGTCACGATCGCTGACAATGTTAGATGGCATACTGTGATGCTTGTATACTAAATTAAACATCACTTCAGTGATATCCTTGGCCCTGTAGGTTTGCTTGGTCGGGGCTAGATGCACCATGGACGTGAGGTGGTCAATTGAGACTATGATCATATCGAAAATGCCCTGTAAAGTCTTAGACTCAGGCAGTGGTCCAATGAAATCCACACCTATAGTTTCCCAAGGTCACATTGGGACCTCTAGCATCTGGAGTAGCCCATAAGGCTGATGATTAGCGGGCTTAGACACTTGGCATGTCGGGCAAGATTCACAGAATGCCTGGACATCAGGAAGCATACCTTTCCACCACACATTTTCACATAGGTAGAGTAGCGTTTTGGCAGGTCCAAGGTGTGCTAGGATCGAGTGAGCATGAGAAATGATAATTTCTCGTACTCGCTGTTGTCCAATTTTAATATCCGGTACGCAGAGGGTGCATTTTCCTTTGTCCCTCAGGTAAATTCACCCATTGCTGACCTCAAAGTTCTTAAATGCTGCTGGACTTGCAAGGATTTTGGTGAAGAAAGGGTCACCATCGTATTTGTGAGCGATTTGCTTGTGGATGTCAGAGGAGGGGTCACCCAATGTGATGACTTCAGTTAGGTGAGGCGGAGGTGTGAGGTTTAAGTTGTCAGGCATGCTAGTTTCAAGTTGTGGGTCCTTGTTTGGTCTGCTTATGTCAACTTGGCCAGGGGCTATGTCATCTAGGTTCTGGGTTCCTGTGACGTCTTTGCTTATGTCATCTGGTTGGTCTGGTGTTTGTTTGGATCACATGACTTCTTTGCTTACATCATGTTGTAGGCTCTTGTTTACTGGTGAAGTGCGCCTTCCTTTGTTCTCATTGCTAATTATCTTTACGCCAGTCACCTTTCCACCCACCAGTGATTCTGGAGGGTTTCTACCTACTCTCAGGATCACTTTCTTGATTCTGGTGACAGGTGAGATTCCCGCTGCGCGCTTGGAAGCTAATTCTTCATGTCGCAGTGGTTCACCATGGCCGGCGATATCCTGGTCTACCGAGTCATCAACTTGCAGCTGGTCTGCATTGTCTGTGTCCCCGGTGTCCCCCTCCTTGAGGGATCCCATGTCGTTCGCCAGTTTGAGTGATCTCGTGTCGCTGGACGGTTTAAGCAATCTCATGTTGTTTGCCGATTTGAGTGATCTCATTTCGCTTGCTGGTTTGAGCGATCTCATGTCGTTTGCCGGTTGGGGAAACCTCAAGGCAGTCCTGGTAAGTGGTTTTCCACTGGGGTCACCCTTACTGACGCCATGTTCGTCCAGTAGCTTGGATATGACAAACGAGTTTGTCAGGGCTTGTTGGGGAACACCTCTGTCCTGGGGTTTTCCCAAAGCCTTCTGAGGACTACCTCTACCCTGAGGAGTGGCCATGATTTGTTGTGGCATGCCTCTGCTTTGAGGGTTTGTCATGACTTGTTGAGGCACACCTCTGTCCTCCAGGTCTGTCATGACTTGTTGCGGTGGAGTGGGGCACACCCAGCCAAGGGGTGTAGAAACAGGGGCGAAGTCGGAGGTTCAAGTAGCTTAGTCAGCCCATGTGTGCCATTCAGGGCGCAGTAGTAGACACGAACTCTATCCCATTCAGGTGCCACGCACATTCACCAAGGCTGGAGCCACTGCCCCATCGTGGTGAGAGAGTGGGATTCGATCTTAGCATCAGCGCATATCTGCTTCCGCATCAGAATTCTCAAGTTCTATTAGATTGGTTCAGAAACAGTGATTGGTCGATATAACGTTACAGCATTGAAAATGTCAACGGAAAGCAAGGCTTAGAATGTCAACGACCAAACGTCAACGCACACGTGCAGAACGCATTCTGTTATTATTGTCTTCGAAAAGGATGATAAGAAATAACACCAGAATGCCCCCAAAAGCTCAAAAGCAGCCAAGAGGTCCGAAAGGACAATTCATCTCAAAAAAAAGCCTAACTAGCCTCTCTGACGCCTCTTCCTTGAACACATCAGCTGAATCTTCCCCACTAGATACACCAGAGCTCACATCTAATGAGATAGAAGACCAACCCACTGACCAGGAGAACTCAGAATACGAGTCCCACGAGGTTCGCCAACAGTTAGAGCAGACTGACGAAGAAGATCAAGAGTTGTTAGTAGGAGCACCAGATCCAGAGGCTAATACACTTCCTATCTTCGACGACCAATCGTCAAAGATCCTAAGCACCATCATACAAGCACAGAAGCCAATCACACCGTGGCCATTCCCACCTGCTACACCAACCAAGACCTTCCTAAAACCCATTATTGCCAAAGCTGCTCCACAACCGCCAAAGATGAAAAAGATGTCAGGAAATAGTAACACACCAGGATGGTTCCACGGCAAAGCCGATGAGAACGCGCAGAACTTTCTGCGCGAAGTCGTTGTAGAAACAACAATACAATGAGGAACAAGGATGCTCCTAACTGTATCTATAAAATGTTGTGAGGTCGCGCGTTACCTAGTCTGCTATTCTTGAGGAGACAAGTGCGTTCGACCCTAGGGGAAGCGAGTGCTGCGAAGATCTAGAGGTACGCGCTTCAGCGAAGCGTGAGAAAGCGCAAGTGCGCGCAAGGTACGAAGGCGCGGGAACGCGCGCGCGTATTAGCGCGAAGCGCGGGAAAGCGCGCGCGCGTAAGCGGAAATAAAAGAGACTAAGCTTAAGTGATGATATAAAGCAATATAAGAAAAGATAGATGCAAAGTGTAGACCAATAGACTTCTACTATGTACTGCTAAGTAAATAGTGGGTGATAACTAGTAAGTTCAAGGGAAAAGTAAGGTAAAGTGTAGTATGTACTGCTGGCGCTTATATAGCGCGCCTAAGCGCGGTCATGCGGAGCCGAAGCGCTACCGAGTAGGTATGTAAGGATATATATGAGTGAGAAACTATGATAAAAATAAAGGTGGAACTATGCTAATAAAGGAAATGGAAATATACGTACTAGGAAGCTTGGTGGACAGTGGATGGATGCATCTGAATGGCTGGCGCTATAGGGCGCGCAAGCGCAGGAACGCGCGCGCGCGTATACATCGCGAAGCACGGGAATGGTGCGCGCATGGCGCGCGTTGCGTGGGAAAGCTGCGCGTCATATAGAGATAGCTGTGGGTAGCGCACAGAATGACGCTGCGAGTTTGTGCTGTATACTTCCTAGTGAAACCTGCCATATCACACCATGAGACACACGAGTCTCTACATCTCCCAGGGACTTAAATTCTGAGTGTCCCCACTCAGCGTGCGCGTGGTGAGGATTTTGCGTGAGAGTATGCAAGTGCGATGCTTGTACGATACTTTGGTTGTTGGGTGATGAATGTGCGAGTGCAGGAATTATCGCGTGATATGCAATGTATGCGAAAGCGCAGGCGCGCGCAAGGTGCAAAGGCGTGGGAAGGTGCGCGCGCATGGTATGCGCGAGGCGCGAGAATGTGCGCGCGCTATGCATGAAGGCGCGGGAATGAAGCATAGCATGGTGGATTGCGAGGGTGACTCTGATGTGAATAATATGCCATGGGTGTGGGGCGATGATGCGAGAGTGATATGGATGTGGCGCGCAAGGTGTGGGCGAGATGCGCGCATATGGCGTAAAGCGCGGGAAAGCGCGCGCGCACAAGGCGCGAGAAAGCGCGTGATTGTCGCATGTGTTGTATGGTGGGTATGATGCAAAGTGGCGCAGTCCAGGAGCGATCCAATCCATGTCCAGACCAAGTCCTGCTAGGCGCGCTAAATATTAGATGCTAAAGGTTTGAACATTGTGAGTAAAACTATATGTGAAAATGCGAATGAAAAACAGTAACTTGCAGATGTCCTATCTGACTTGTCTTCTTCGTGCAGCTGTCAACATCTACACCTTCCTATGAGCGAGGCGCGAGAAGTGCGCATGTGCGCGAGGCGTATGGGCGCGGGAGGTTTGCGCGTATGTGCGCGTGAGCGTGGGAAGACTGCGCGCATATGTGCGCGTTCTAAGGTAAAAAGGGCATGGTGCCGCGTCATGCGTGCGAAGAGAAAATAATACTATTGAGCTAGGCGGGCACGATCTATGGTTGTTTTTCTTCTAGGTGATTCCTATATGCATATATCAGTGTGTTATTAGTCTTTTGGACAGTGTTATAATGAGAGAAAATGAAATGAAAGAGCACTGGACGAAACCCAGGGTAAAACAAACAATATCCTATGAAACAGTGTTGGTATATGTTCCTCCTTTGATGTGCCGCTGAAGCGCTCAATCCTCCTTGAGCGCGTGCGAGCGCGCGTGACTAGCGCGCTTCGCGTCTCTTGCGAGCTGACGCTTTACCCAAGGTAGGGTTGGAATGCGCAAGGCTGGCGTATTTGGGGGGGGCTTGTAACTGGCAGAATGAATTCCTGCACAACGCGCTGCAGGTTGAAGGCGCGCCAATGGGAGGCGCTGTGAGGGGTGTAGAGGCGCCCTACAAGCTGATAGGGTGCGCGCGATGTGCGCGCCTTGGGGCGATTTCGCGCGAATTTGATTATATTGGCCGAACACGCGAGGAACGGCCATTTCTCTGCAAATGCGTTAGTGAGAGATGTATGTAGTGTAAAATTAGGCGCAAATGTTGCACAAATGGGCTGTAAGGGTTGTATATCAAGGCGCATGGGCGAAAGAGAATAGTGCGCATCAGCGCGCGCAGGAACAAAATTGACATGGTAAGCAAAAGCGTGAAGAATGCGAATCAATGTGCGAAGTGCGAAGTTAAAAGTGATAATAGGGGGGTTAGGCGCGTATGTATGTGTCAGGCGCGCGCCTAAGTCACGCCTGGATGACTGATTGGAATATGTCTTGTGTTGAATGAAAGAAATGCAATTTAAAAGGGGAGAAGTGATAGAAATGCAATAGTGTGGAAACTCTGCTAAAGTTATGAATGCGCGAGGCGCGGGAATGCGCGCGCATATTGCGCGATGCGCGTGATCATGGCGCGTGAACAAGGGGTGGTGCGAAGATGAAATAAAAGTGATTGGAATTGTCATATAGCTCCTTAAGAGCTTCAAACATGAAAAAGACAAAAAGCGCGAAATGAGATGAGGGTAAATATACAATGCCTCTAAGCGCGCGCATTGCGCGTCCTCAGGCGCAATATGGTGCGCCTGAGTCGCACCAGGGTCGCCTGAGACATGCTCTGCTTGGTGGTTAGGCACCGTGTTGCACGGATGTTTTACCGGTGCACGATAGTCACTGGAAGCAAAAAGCGCGACATGCGCGCAATCGTTAGTGACAATTGGAGTTACCAGAGGCAGACTCTGGTTGATGTAAGGTGCAACTTGAGCCTCTGATGCGGCAGGAGGCTCCTCTATAGGCGCGCTAAGGTGCAATAGATGTTTAGGGTCATCCCTGACCTCTGATGATGCGAGTGGCGATAGCAGTGATGGCGATGGTGCGATTGGTGAGGTTTCTTCCTTAAGCGATGCGATAGGCGGGCGCGTTTCAAGCGATGGTGTAATAACGTCCACAATGGGCGCATTACTGTGCAATAGATATTTAGAGTCATCCCTGACTTCTGGCGAGGTGATAGCGATAGGCGCGCGTGTTTCAACTGGCGCGTTAGTGTGCAATAGATGATTATAGTCATCCCTGACTTCCGATGCGATTGGTGATGATGGAGATTGCGAAGGAGATGATGCTGATGGTGAAGGTGAAGAGGCGCCTGCGGTGTGCTTCTGGTTGCGCTTAGCAAGCGCGCGCTCGAGTTCGTGATCTAAAGTGGTGCGTTCTGGTATGGCTTTGCATGCTGGTGCAGTTAATGGTTGAGGTGCGCATGATTCGCGCGAAGGCGCGGGAAAGGCGCGCGCGTGAGGCGCGTGAATAGGAACTGGTGGCCTTTTGTCAAGTACAGCTTCTGAGGGTGCGCGATAGAAGAGTCCAGCTGTTGCGTTAGCGCTAATGGTCGTATCCTGCGTTGCGCGACTCGCGTGGTATTGATCTTTGTACTTAGCCACTTTAGCTTGCACTGGCGCAGTTGCTGTGACTAAGGTGGCAATTGGTGCTACTATGGGCGCGCTAACTGGCGTGTTTGGCGCTATAGTGGGCGCGCTAATTGGTGCGCTTACTGGTGCGCTTGGCGCGGGAAAAGCGCGCCCAGATAATAGGAACTGCGCAGCTGCAAAGACGTCCATAAATGGATATGGGTCGTATGGGTGGTGGTCAGGGAACTTGATCATAAGGCGCAAGCGGATTTGCGCCTGAGCATCGCTAGGGATTCCTTCCATGAATAAGCGGTCGCGTTCGGCCTTTCCAATACAGTCTTCGTCCATGAGTGGCTGCATAACCTTCCTGAATGCGCGCAGGTAATTGCTGAGTTCTGTGCAAGAAGGCATTGGTTTGTTAGCGTATTCGCGCGCGATGGCGCGCAAGTCCGCGAGCGCGTAGCGTCTTTTACCATCCCATCCAGGATACATTACCTTCACCTCATCTAAAAAGGTGCTGTAATCATCTACTGCCGCTTCTGGCATGCCTCCCCATAGTTCTCGATCATCGCGTGCAAGGTAGCGGATAATACCTTTGATGCGGTCAAGTCCTTGGAGTCCTGCTTCATCAGCGAGCTGCTCATATGTGTCAATGAATTCAGCGAGGTTGTCTGTAGTGCCGCTGAACTTGGGCGCATTTGCGGTGCCGCGGATGGGCATTCTATAAGGCATTGAGGCGTGAAAAGGTGCAGGCGCGCGCGTGAGGCGCAGAGGCGTGGGAACTATTGTGTGCGCGCAAGGCGCGAGAGTGCGTGACTATACAATGGTTAGCTTGTGAAAATGCAAAGAGATTGACCTGTATGTGTTAAGATGCGCAAAACTAGATCTTGCTGACTGCTCCCCTCGCGGTGGGCTCCAGTTGTAGAAACAACAATACAATGAGGAACAAGGATGCTCCTAACTGTATCTATAAAATGTTGTGAGGTCGCGCGTTACCTAGTCTGCTATTCTTGAGGAGACAAGTGCGTTCGACCCTAGGGGAAGCGAGTGCTGCAAAGATCTAGAGGTACGCGCTTCAGCGAAGCGTGAGAAAGCGCAAGTGCGCGCAAGGTACGAAGGCGCGGGAACGCGCGCGCGTATTAGCGCGAAGCGCGGGAAAGCGCGCGCGCGTAAGCGGAAATAAAAGAGACTAAGCTTAAGTGATGATATAAAGCAATATAAGAAAAGATAGATGCAAAGTGTAGACCAATAGACTTCTACTATGTACTGCTAAGTAAATAGTGGGTGATAACTAGTAAGTTCAAGGGAAAAGTAAGGTAAAGTGTAGTATGTACTGCTGGCGCTTATATAGCGCGCCTAAGCGCGGTCATGCGGAGCCGAAGCGCTACCGAGTAGGTATGTAAGGATATATATGAGTGAGAAACTATGATAAAAATAAAGGTGGAACTATGCTAATAAAGGAAATGGAAATATACGTACTAGGAAGCTTGGTGGACAGTGGATGGATGCATCTGAATGGCTGGCGCTATAGGGCGCGCAAGCGCAGGAACGCGCGCGCGCGTATACATCGCGAAGCGCGGGAATGGTGCGCGCATGGCGCGCATTGCGTGGGAAAGCTGCGCGTCATATAGAGATAGCTGTGGGTAGCGCACAGAATGACGCTGCGAGTTTGTGCTGTATACTTCCTAGTGAAACCTGCCATATCACACCATGAGACACACGAGTCTCTACATCGTTACGTTGTGCTCAACAAACTAAAAACAGAGCAAGGAAAGATCACAGTATTCAGCACTCTACTCTCGACAGGCTCAATCGCAGACACGTGGTGGAACAAGTTAGATAGTTCGCACAAGAACTCATGGGCAGACGTTAAAACAGCATTCTCAAACCGTTGGCTGGCAATCACAGTAGCCGAAAAAACGGGGCTTGACTACCAGTGAGAGATATTAGCGCTGCGACTGAAGGAGGAAGAAGTAGGCAAACAGATCACAGTCGCAGGCGTTCCTACGTGGGCACACCTCCAATTCCACATGAATTTACAACAGCTCATTAACGAAGCTGGAGTCAACACAATAGCAGGGCTCGTGTATCAAGTCTGAGAGAACCTACCAACGGTAATCAAGGAGCTCACGACTCCGGGGTTAGCAGAATGGAGCAAGTTTCTAGATGAGCTGAAGGCGCTGGATACAAACAAGTTAAGGGAAAAGGCGGAGACGGCAAGGAAGAAGAAAGAGGAAGAGAAGATGCAGAGTGCTCGCCTCACAAGGCTCGAGACGATGCAAACGGACGTGATAGAAGTCATGCATTTACAACTACAGCGCACTAACTTGGGGCCCACCACAACCGAACGAAGTACCACGCCACCATCCAACCTAACACCACGCATACACTACGTCAACAGAGAGCTCAGGACAATCCCTCAACAAGCAAGTCGTCAGCACCAACCTCTTACACAGGAAGAACGAGACATCATGAGATGTCACGTCAACGACATAGCCCACCATGCAGACACCACCGTAGGTCGAGCAGCGTATGATGACCAGCTCAAACAATGGTTCGTGAAGTATGGGCAAACCAGATGAGTTACAGAGACCACCCAGTTCCCACTCCGCCCAGGCAGCGCCATGATATGCTCGGGTGAATGTTTCAAATGCGGTGCACATGGACACAGATCCGCAGAGTGTCGAGTCCCGGAGACATCGTAACTACTAATCCAGGAGAGAATCTGGAGAAGTTTAGCAGTGAGAGCGCTAGGTAACTTCAATCGAGCAAATGCAGTGCAAATCGACGTAGCATTTGAGGAAGAGTACGCGCAGTGGGACCAGGGAAAAGAATCAGGGTCGTCAGTGTAGAGGGACACCAGACAACCCAAACAGACAGCATACCTCAGCAAATTGAACGGTCAGTCCTCGTACGTGAAAAGGCGATGCACGAGGACAATTCCCAAAGCCCCGTCAGAATAGTCATAGACACAGAACCAGACAGTGTATCAACAGCAAATGATCAATACAATGTCAGTGACTTGTACTCGATGGCGGAAAACGGAAACGGAAATCAGTGCTGCCTACTGTTCCTGCAGTATACCTCGTTCCTAGGTCCAAAAGGCGAGGTGATTAGAGTCAAAGCCTTATTTGATGAAGGAGCGATGACAAGCATCATGTGCACGTCAGTATTCGAAAGTGTCAAACATAGGCTATGCAATTGGAGTCCATTGACAAAACGCCTCCGCATGGCAAATGGAGCAATAGTTCAGTCAGAGGCAGTTTGGAAAGGAGATGTGGTTATAGGAGGAGTACGAGCACAAGGGGAATTTGAAGTGCTACAGAGCAGGGGAGGTTGGAAGTTCCTGTTTGGAAAGCCGCTGTTACAAACCTTCAAAGCAATCCATAACTACGAAGTCGATGAAGTCCAAGTTACAGGAATTGGAGGCACAACAATGCTACGGAACCAATCACAAGCAGCAAGAGCAAGTATCAAGGATGAAGATGTGACTCCAACCCACACAATATCGCAAGAAGCATCAAAAGGAACAATGGCTGACGAAGAACCCATACCAGTAAACGAACACGACACCTCCCTGAAGGAAATACCTACAGAATTCTTGGCAAATGATGAAGCAACGTTCACTCAACTAACGGAACCCCACAACCCACGAAGAGCAGCCTGGATAGTGAAACATGTTCAGTACGGAAAAGACCTCACACCAGAAGAACTCAAACAGGTAAAAATGCTTGTCATGGACTATGCTGACATCTTGGCATGCTCTCTAGGAGAGGTACTGCCAGTCCCAGGAGCGATCCACCAACTGAACATTCTGGAAGGAACAACCTTTAATCTCAAAGTCAATCAACGACCGCTCACTCCCCCGCAAATACAGTTCTTACACGGGAAAATCGACAAAATGATCAAAGCCAGAATCATTGAGCATGCACCACCGGAAGCAGTCAAGTGTTGTGCAAACACAGTCTTGGAAAATAAAGCACACAAACAGGAAGGTATGACGCTAGAAGAGCTGCAACAAGTCATCAACAAACAGTGTCTACGAAGCGGCCAACCACCAGCATTCACGCAGCCAGAGCACGAAGTACCAGAAGAACATGGAAGGATGGAAAACCCACCGAAACCACAAAAATGGAGAATCTGTCAAAATTTTAACGAAGTCAACAAGGTCACAATGATCGCACCAATGCCTCAAGGCGACATCAGGGCCAAACACTCAAGATTAAGTGGACATAGGTATGTATCTGTTGTCGACTTCACATCGGGATTCTACGCAATAGAAATCCGGAAGAATCACGACCGTACACAGCATTTTATATCGAAGGAAGAGGCTATTTCTGGTACAAAAGGATGCCGATGGGTCTGACGGGCGCACCTTCAACTTTCTCTGAGATGACAGCTAACAATTTGCATGATATACTAGCAGACAGTATCATGGAACTGTTCATTGACGATGGTGGATGCGCAGCGAACACGTTTCAGGATATGATGGACAAACTGAAACAAATTTTTCAGAGGTGTCGCGAACATCATATCTCGCTTTTGCCAACAAAATGTCGTTTATTTATGACGGAAACTACGTTCGCAGGAGCTACAGTAGGCCCAGAAGGCGTACAACCAGATCTAGCTAAGTTAACTGCAGTAGTCAATTGGGAGCAACCACCGGACGCACTTAATCTCGAATCGTTTTTAGGATTAACCAGTCATTTCAGAGATTTAATTCAAAGTTACTCGCTACAGGAAGGACCACTACGGAATCTTGTCAAAGGAGCACCGCTAACAGCACCTTACACGAAGAACATGTACAGGTGAACATTACGAAGCTTCAAACTACAAGACCTCTGGAAAGACGAACACACGAAGGCTTTTCTGGATCTCAAAGCCGCACTCATGTCAAAACCAATCCTGCAAGGTCCGAAATACGACGGCTCCAACTTCATTGTAACATCAGATGGCTGCACAGAAGGCTTTGCAGCAGTACTGTCACAATGGAACCGCACAAAAAGCCCATCTGGGAAATGGACAGAGCGCTTACACCCAATCGCATTCACATCAAAACGCACATCCCAGACAGAACGAAACTACAAACTGTTCCTACTCGAGTTTGCAGCCTTGAAATTCACATTAGACAAATTCTCTGATGTCATTTGGGGATTCCCGGTTGAAGTGGAAATGGACTGTCAAGCATTAAAAGACATACTGATCAGTAATCGTCTGAATGCAGCACACGCACGATGGAGAGACGGAATCCTGGCTCATAACATAGTGGATGTTAGACACGTACCAGGGAAACTCAATGTTATAGCAGACAGATTAAGCAGACAGTGGGAGGGACACCCAAGAAATGTAGAATTACTTGACGGGAGTGAATGGACGGTTAGCGAAGACTGGGAAGCTAATACGGGTTTGATCAACGACTTACTTCAGGTATCTACTAACATTGAAGACTCAACAGCATCACAGCTCCTGCAATGGTTCGCAGATGAACCAGTATTTCGCGAGGTCATTGAGGCGATGCTGCAAATCGATAGAGGAGCCAACGTTCGCAATAGGAAACGAGCAAGACATCGTGCATCCCAGTACTTGATCGAAGACGGGAAGCTCTGGAAAATATATGATGGAACTGCAGTCAGAGCCTGCAGCAAAGTAGAATGCATCAACAAAGAGGAAGCTCGAGCATGAGCAGCAAAGCAGCATGATGAAGGTGGGCATTGGGGACGAGACATGATCAAAATAGCACTAACGGACCAGATATACAGCCCAAAGCTGGATGCTTCTATCATGACAGCAATCAGCAATTGTAGCCGTTGCAAGAACTTCGGTGCGTCACATCTTCACTCACTATTAGAACCGATAACGCGCCGGCATCCTTTTGAACTTTAGTTGGAGATTACCTCACATTGCCAAAGGCGAGAGGGTACAACACGTTAGGAGTGTACTTAGACACGTTTTCCCAACACGTGTGGGCATTCAAATATAAGTCGGCAGGGACAGCGAAAACAATGGTCGACAGCCTGGCGAAAATCTTCAAGAACTTCACAGCGTTGGAAACCTTCATGTCAGACGGAGGGAAACACTTCAACAATACTGTTGTCAAAGACTTCTGCGCTAAGTGGAACTGTAGTACTCATGTTATTGCGGCACACTCACCATGGATAAACGGTTTAGTTGAAGGCACGAACAAAATCTTGTTACATGTGCTAAAGAGGTTATGCGCGCCGAACATAGGAGAAGACAACCATGAAGCACTTTCATGGGACAAGCTACCACTCAACTGGCCAGATCATCTGGATGATGCAATCTTAGTGCTCAACCACTGCATACTGCCAGCGCTGAAGTTCTCACCGAAAGAATTACTCCTGGGACAAGTAATCAATACGCCACGCATGGACCTCAGCAACAGTACCTCCGCAATATGTATATCAGATGTTGGCATGCAAATGGCATACGTAGCTCAACAACAATTGGACGGCTACAACACTGCAGTTCGACACGCCATCAAATGTAAGGCAGCATTTGACAAATGAGTCCTAGGACGCACACCAGGTGAAGTCATATTTTCTAAAGGACAATTAGTTCAATTTTATCGCAGTAATCTCGACTATACATTTGATACCAAATGGAAACTACTCCCCAAATGGTCCCCACCCCATCGCATCACCAAATGACTCCGGAATTCCTACAAGATAGAGACACTGAACGGAGAAGCGATAGCAGGAGAAATGCATGCCCGATGTTTACAAATGTTCATACCACAGGAAGGTACAAAACTAGCCGAAGAACAGCAGAAGCTTGAGGAACAGTTGCAAGCGCAGCAAGAGGAGAATCACGGGAAGGAGAACAGAAATGATGAAGAACAAGAAAGTGAGAGCAGCGAGGAAGAAGAACGAAGGAGTGAGGACAGGAATGAGGAGGAGCAAGAGTGTGAGAGCGAGGAGGAAGAACAAGGAGAGAGCAGCGGATGACGAGAGAGGGCGACGAGGATGCCGCCAGGCTTTTTTCAAGGGGGGCACTTGGAGTGGGGCACCCCCAGCCAAGGGGTGTAGGAACAGGGGCGAAGTCGGAGGTTCAAGTAGCTTAGTCAGCCCATGTGTGCCATTCAGGGCGCAGTAGTAGACATGAACTCTATCCCATTCAGGTGCCACACACATTCACCAAGGCTGGAGCCACTGCCCCAGCGGTCCGCCTCTGCTGACCGGGTTTGTCAAGACTTGTTGCAGTGCGTCTCCGCCCTGGCCATCCTGGTTACTTTGGTGACGGTGTTTGGCATGCTTGCAGCCAGGTTGGGTTTTGCCAGGACTACTGACTATCTTTTCTGCCAGGTGCGCGGATCATCTGTTCTCGGTTGCACCCAGAAAGAGAGGAGTGCCAGTGTATACCAGAGCCGTGACAAAGTTGAGGAGGAGTGTCCTGGGTGCGTCTTCCTCCTCTACACTCACAAACTCACTTTGAGCCCTTACAGTACCCTTAGGCTCATTACTGTACATGCATGACAGTGCATCTGCAAGGGTGTTTTCAGCCCCTGGTAAGTACTTTATTTGAAAGTCGAACTTGCTCAAAGCTTCCAACCACCTGGCCTGTC